CTTAAATAAGTGATGCATTGGATCTTTTGGAATGTACTCCATTCAAAGGTTTTTAGTAGTTATTAGGTTTGACAAATTGACATAATCCTTGATATTTTATTTGTTAATTTTATATTCTAGTGAAGAAAATATTTCTATATTGTACCCCACGGATATAAACATATTTTTAAACCACATAAATCTTTTGTGTCTTCCTTCTCTTTTTATTTTTATTTTTTTATATTTATTGTTAATTTCTTAAATGTTTTATATTAAACCTAACTGTTGTGCGTTTGACCAAGTATTCGGTAACATCATAAACTAAGATTTTATTTAGCGCACCTCCTACATTGATTGAATTAATTCATTGCTAATTTCTATCCTTTTTCTTTTAATAGGATAACAAAAACAAAACAAAATTATTTTATTTAATTAATAGGTAATGATTTTGCTTATTAATAATTTTTGTACAATTTGGTATTAATAGTGATATTTGTTATGGAAAGTAATATCTTGGGTTTATATATGCATATCCTTAATTTAGTTTAATTAATAATATGTGAAGGACGTATAATTTCAATTAAAACCTACGTAGTTAAATTAATTCAATCAAAAGTAAAGATTATCAAGTGACTGTGCAATTAACCTAGATGTCAAGACATGCTTACCAAACAAATCAGTTCTATCGACCAGATCACGAAGAAATTTGATGAGATCATCGTCTGTTAATTTATCTTTAGTGACTTCATAAAGGTACGTCGCCATCTCTTTATGGCCGTCTTGAGCTGCTATATGAATTGGTAAGATCTCGTCATATCTACGGATACTTGGTAACTCTGTATTCTTCCCAAACATCAGCTTGACAAGTTCCACCCTTCCAGATGCAGCAGCAAGAAAAAAAAGCAGTACATCCATCACAATTTTGAATAGCCAAATCTTTTTTTTCCATCTTATTTACCAGTTCTTGAACAAACACAGTAGAAACTATCGCAGTTGCAATGTGGAGAGCCGTATCACCGTTGTTTGAAATCCTAGCAGTTAAATACAGTGGAATATTCTCTGGATCTTTCGTAAAAACATCTCTAATAGTTTTCAGGTCATTCCTCAATGCAGCTCTATACAGTTTTTTTATGTTTTCACCTATCCTCAAGCAATCTGTAAACAAGACAAGAACAAGTTTTACAAATAAAAATTGATTCATTGAAAGTGGTTTTTATATAAATTGATAGAATAATATATTGAACATTAGAAACTATCAATAATGCTATGAATATGTGCATCACTATTTTAATATAATGTTAACACATCATGAGTACACAAGTTAACCACGAACCATATATCCATACAAAATTAATTTATAGAACCAGAGAGGCCACTTGTACTTTAATAAAATTTATACTCTCTAGGTCCATCTATTCAATAAGCCCATTGGTAAAATTTGTAATTTTTAGTTTTACTTTATTTGCTTACTTTTACCGAATATAACCTTTATAAAATATAAATTAGTTGATGAACCATGTTCAAATTGTACTAATTAGCGTTTAGAAGAGTGATTAATAAAGTAAAAAATTCTTAAACTAATTAATATTGTAAGAGTGGTTTATGAAATATATGAAATAAATAAATAAAAACTATCCTAAAATGTAATATATTAAATTATTATAATTTCTCCAAATTTATTTATTTTTTGAGTAAAAACAACAATTAAATATTTAATTTTATTCTTAATTTTTGTATTTATAAAATACTTTCTAATAGGGGTTCTTCTTTTTATCTAATTAACTTTTAATGGATTTCATGATCTAATAACATACGTACATACATACATATTTAAACTATTTTATTTCATTCCATTAACATTCTTTATTACAAAAAACAATATAATCCTATTCTAATCTTTCATATATTCTCAGGATGGATCCAAGAATTAACTTTAGAACGGCAAGTCTATAATAAAATAATATAAACTATAAGAAAAGTAAATGAATTTGATCAAATTTAAAAACACGAATACAAATACAGTATGGTCCAAAGTGAAAAATCAAACCAAATTAATGAATTGTTTTTTAGTGGGATCACTAACCCCCACTCATGACTAAGTGGGTCTGTTACTATACATTCTCGTCCTACACTCTTTCCATTCATATTCCTATCCAATCCTCATTCAAACATATAGCCTTAGTGTTAATGATATACTAAATAAAAATATTATGTGAATGTATTTATAAGGTTAAACTATTGTAGCGGAAACTATTGTAGTGAAAAATATTATGTGAATGATAATCCCTTGGTCATAAGATCAGCCACCATCTCACCAGTGTATATAGTAGACTTTGATTTCTCCCTTCCATTATATCTTGAATATAGGCATAAGTTGTGTCAATGTGTTTACCTTAGGAACTATTAGCTCCACTTTTTACCAAACAGATGACTGACCCGACAAAACACATAAACATGTTATCAAGTATACCCAATGGTAGGCTAGCATTAAATTTTTTAGCCCATACTGTAGTACTTACAATTGTGCTACAAGATATATATCCTGCTTTTATGGTTGACTTTGCAACACAAGCTTGTTTCCTACTTAATAAATAGTTGTTCCACCAAAAAAAAAAATATACGTATTCCACTTGTGGACTTTCTATCATCTATGTCACCTGCAAAATCTGCATTACAATAGTCAATAAGTTCTAGATTATTTAAACCGGAACACAGTTTGATACCTTTAGTGCCCTTCGGATATCTCATAATTCTTTTCACAACTTGCCAATGAATTATTCCAGGATTTGATTGATATATACTAACTCCAACCACTCCTACTGCATGACATATATTTGGTCTTGTACTGGTCATTACATACATATATTTGGTCTTGTACTGGTCATTACATACATCGGACTTCCAACTGCTTGTATATAAAGAACTTTGTCCATTTCTTTTATTTCATTCTCATCTTCAGGACAAATCTTTAGTGATGAATTGTTGCCTCAATGGTTTGCAATTTATCATATTAAATCGCTTTAATACCTAATCTAGATAATTTTTTTGGGTCTAGATATAACATCTTTGAATTCTTGTCTCTAACAATTTTAATTCCTGCATATCAACTTTGTGATCAAATCTCCTACACTTAATTTCTTGCATGTAACCATGCATATTTAATCATATATTATCAATATAATTAGTATTCTAATGGCTATTATAAACTAACTAAAATAATAAGCAATGGGCCGGTTTTGTATTATTTCATAATCAAGAGGATTTTTATTATTAAATCAAAACTCTATATATATATATATATAAAGCAGCATAATAAAACTAATATGATCAAGTAAATAAGTAAATAAGCAATTAGAATATTAGAAAAAGTTGGTGCTTACCAGACAATTTGTTGCTATCCATTTCTCCCAGGGGTCCTTGGACTTTATGAAGAAACTCCACCGTCCTTTCATGGCCGCCCTGAGCTGCAATGTGAATTGGTAGCATTTCCTTGTCTCCACGGATACTTGGTAATTTTTCATTCTTTTCAAACATCAGTTTAGCATAGTCCACGCTTCCCATTGCAGCAGCAATAAAAAAAGCAGTATTGCCATTACGATTTTTAATAGCAAAATCGTCTCTTTGCATTAAACCTACTAGTACACCGAGAAAACGAGAGGGGCCTGCCTTAACTGCAACGTGGAGAGGGGTGTCCTCGTTGTCTGATATACCAACAGTCAAATATTTTGAAAGTTTTTGCCCAGAAAAAAAAAAAAAAATAATCCCATTTCGTCATCGTTTAGTATATATCGATACAATCTTTCACGGTCTTCTTTGATCCTTGTATCATCTGTAAAGGTGAAACAAGAAAGAAGTTTTATATGTAAAAACTAATTCATTTAAACATATAGTGCTGATGTAAATATATAGTAATATTAAACATATGAACTATATATACAAAATTAATTTATACAAAAGGTCACGCTATTCGTACATAAATTGAAAATACACTCTGTATGCCATTGCTAACATTTGAAACTGTATTCTTACTTTACATAAATATACTTACATTACTACAAAAGGTGACCTTTTAAATAATAAATCAGTTGAAGAACCATTAAAAGGGTGGTTAAAAAATATATGTTTCCGAAAATAGAGAAAATCTACAGTAGCCGGTGTACAAATCAGAATGCTGATTTGGTACCACAAACTAATAATAAACTGACATGTGTGAAATTTATTTAAATTAAATAATAAAATTAAGGACTAGACAGAAATAAACAATAAAACTAAGGATGATAATGCAGTACAGTACATGGCCAAACTAAGTGAATTCGACAAATGCTTTTTCAGTGTTTATTGCGGCAAGAAACCGATGAACTTGTAGTGCCTAACATAAATGAAGACCGGTTTTTACCGAACTGAAACGGTAACAAATGCTCTCCGTCTTGCAATGGACAAGAGATAAAAAATGTTTGAGTGGGTTGATTGGAAATCATTGAGGGAAAAAAGTATATCAGATTTATATATTATTGATTGATGGTGTGTTTGTTTCATTTGGATTCATTGATTATGTGTTTGTTTCATGAGGATAATTAGTTTGTTGACCGAGTGTTTGTTGCCATGAAAAAATTAGACAAGGTTAATAAAAATTGGGGGAGGCAGATGGCAGAGGCGGAGCTGAAAAATTAAAACTGGGTTAATAAAAAATAGGGTAAGGAGGCGGTGGCAGAGAAGGTTGAGGCAATGGCTGAAGAAAAAACTGGGGGAAAGAGCCTGGCAGAGAAGGTTGAGGCTATGGCGGAAGAAAAAATGGGAAAGGAGGCGCTAGCGATACGGTTGAGACAATGATGGAAGATGTTTTAATTGGATTATAATTTTTGATAATATTAAAATAAAATTTTTAATGCATTTGACACATGTCAGTTTATAATTAGTTCGTGGTACCAACTTAGCATTCTCAGTTGGTACCTCTAGGTTATTCTAGATTTTCTTCTAATGAAAAAGATATAAGAGTGATTTATGAACAGAAAATAAAAACAAATTGTCGTCCGGATGTTAAGACAAATCTTAGGAGGGGATTGTGACTTCTCAGACAGTTAATATCGTAAATCATAAACACCCTGACCCAAATAATATGAAAAAAAAAAAAAAAATGCTTCTTAGTACAGGTCATTGTGATATCAAACTATATTTATTTTAGTCCTTTTAATGAAATTTAATGTTAACTTTAAACCTTTAAATTTTAACCAAACTTTTTTCAAAATGAAATTAACCCTTAAGAGTTAAATTGCAAAAAATTCTAAAATGTTTGCATTTGTTTAATCTCACGGTTGACCGACTATTTTAATGGGCACTTCTTATGCGCTTATATTACAATAATCAAGTTAATTTTCTCTTTGTCTAGGTAATACCAAAACAATTGCTAGGAAATTTTTAAGACATAAAAATGAAAGGATACTCAAAATGATTCATCTTTAATAATACGAAATAAAATAATAAGCAATTTATAAAATGATATCAAAATGTACCAGCGTTTTCTTGAAGAAGAGATGTCTCATTCTCAACTCTTTTGTTGGATAACCCTTCTTTCGATGCAGCTGTTGTATCTCTCATTGTTTCATCAGTCAAAATTTTGTCATAATTAATTTTTATGTGTTTATATAAAATTAGATAAACAAATTAATTTTCTTTTTCTATAGATAATCTAAAGAAATTGTTAAAAACAGTTTAAATACATGAAATTACTGTCCAAACATTATATCTTTAAAAGTGAAAATAATATTAAAAATAAAATAATAATATAACGTGTAGTTTACAAGGTAATTTAGAATAGTACCGTCTTGTTCTTGAGAGTAAGGAGATGTCAAAAGTCAAAAGCTCATCCTTTTATTCATGTAACTCAATTTCTAGTGCAATGTTAACTCTCACTTTATCATTGATCATTGGACATTTTTGTGATAAAACCTTTAAGGAACTTTATGCATTTAGATGTAATTTGAGTTCAACGTCGTACTTTAAAGTATTTTTAATGAAATACTTATTGCTAATATCAAGTGAATAACATACATATATAAGGTTAAACAATTGAACATAACACAAATTCGTAGTCATGAATACAATATTGCAATCAAATAAATTTGAGAAATAAGGTAGAGATCATTATTTTTAACACCAACTCAACAACTAAACTACTAAATTACATAGATTAATATCCAAGTATTTCTTTTACATGAAACTTGATCCTGTTAGAAATGTTAGTAGTCTAAAATTACTCTTTGATCGATCCTAAAACTCCTTGTCGTCTTACCAGAAGTTAGTAGCCTAAAGGGTGCTATTTTCTCTTCCCTCTTTTACAATTATCTTTAATTCTTAATATTACCAACCTTAGCTAAACCTTTTAATTCTTAACAACAGTTAATTTTAGGTAAAATTCAAAATTGAATTAGTTCTGAAAGTTTAAGTTACAAAAGTTCTAATTTATTTCCATAATCTCACAAAAAAAAAAAAAAAAAAAAAACTATTCCCCTATTTTTATGGATAATCCTAATGCGCTTATAGAATGACAACAATAACAACAGCAAAAAAGTAAACTTCTTATTAAAAATAAAACGGTTGTAAAAGAAGTTTAAAGACATAAATATTAAAGGATGCTCAAAACAATGCATCTTTAAAAGTATAAATTAAAATGATAGGCAATATAAAAGGTAATATTAAAACGTACCAGGCAAGTCTTGAGGAGGAGATGTCCCATTCTCTAATTTTTCATCTGATGAACTATTCTCTAATGCAATTGTTGTATCGCTCACTATTTCATAAACAACATTTAGTGATACTTAATCAACCAAAGCGATTATTAAAGAAGTTTAATGATGTGGTAGGATTGATGCTCAAACAATCATTTTTTTTCAGTTTAAAACAATATCACATTCAATTTAAGAGGTAATATCGAATCATACCACCTTGTTCTTGAGGAGGAGATGTCATAAGTTCATCTTTCTTGTCATGTAACTCGATTTCTGTTGCAATGTTAATCCTCACGTCACCGGTGGACATTTTTGTGGTAAGCACTGTAAGGAACTTTAGGTAATTAGATGTTTGTTGAATTTAATTTATAAGACACCATATTTGGGATGAAGTCTTCATATAAACTTGTATTTTATAATCTTTCCAATTTTAATTAATAAAAACATTTACTTATAATTATTCATAATATCAAGTGAATGAGAAACATATATAAGGTTAAATTATTGTAATAAAAAAATTCTTGATCATTGATGAGATGAAATTTGTATTTGAGACAAAATTTAAAGGTTGTTATATTATTTAATTTCAAATTAACAACTTTTAAATTATTGGATTACATTAAATCAATGTTCAAGAATTTATGTTAGAGGAGCTTGATTCTTTCAGAAATAGGTATAAAATTAGTAGTCTTGAGGGTGTTGCTTGTCTTTTTGTTGAAGTATAACCCTTAGAGGTTTAGTTTTTCATCATGGACAATTTTGTAATTTCGTGCCTTTAGTTTTGGGTATTATTCCAATTTTATACAAGGCTCACTTGCGATGATTAAGTTAGAAATGAGAGGTGGGTGGTTAAGGTCCATTTGGTAAGGCTTCTTTAAGTATAGTTATGGAAGAAGAGTTTAATAGAGTTGAACTTTTGTGAAAGAAATTATTAGTTATTTGGCTACCGAAAATGGAAAAGAACTTTCTAATATTAATATTTTAACATAAAAGAACAGAATTTTATAAAATTGAATAGGGATATTTTTTAAATTTCAACATTTTTAATAAGCTTCGGTTTCTCTACTAGCCAAAAAATTTTATTTAAAGCTACAAGCACTTTTGAAATTCTTTTAAAGTTGCTTGATTGCATTTTAAAAGTGTTTATAAGATTTCTAATAAGCTATTTTATGGCTTATGGAAGAAGTTCAAATTTTGAGCTTCTCTCATAAGCTCCTTTTTAGCTTATTTAGAGTATTGAAATTCAAAAAATATTCTTATAGAATTTTATAAATTTGATTCGATCTATTCTTGTATATTGAAACCCCTTTTTGGTTAATTAATATTCAAAAGCTTTTTACAATTTTGTAAGCAAACTCTAATCATAAATTTCACAAAAGCTCTAATCATGTAAGCTCTACTTTAATAAGTTTTTCTTTCATAAACTCTACTCAAAAGAGCCATATCAAACAGAAATGAGAAAGCTAAAGGCTGAGATTTAGCTCTAGTGAGTAAGTTAGCTAGCTTGAGGGAGAACACACCAAGCGTTGAACAAGCTTCTGAATTGTATGAGTGAACAAGAACCCTAAGCACAAGAGAGACATTAAGGTTGAGTGATTAAAACCTAGAAGGTGAGAAGCTAAGACCACTATATCTTCGTTGTTCTCTTTATTTAGTGTAATCATATCCCTCGTAGATACAACCATTTTCGGTGAACCACTTAAAATCACTTGTGTATGTTTTGTTGTACTTGTTTGTTTGCTTCTTGATTTTAATCAATATTTCCTTTTATCCTTAATTTTCTTTTAGACAAGACTCTTTGA